AAATGAAGATAAGGGTAGAAAAGTTATTGAGCGGATTGAAAGTTTTAGTGCGTCAACTATTTTAAATCTAAAATGGGTTGATATTAAAATGATAACGGAATATATTACATTACAACTTAATGCTAGCGAAACTATAAATAATCGTGGTTATAGAATTATTGATGGTGAAATTAGGGGCAATTCTATATAGTGGACCAAATTGTACATATCGATATATAATATATTTAATTTTTTTCTTGCATAAATTTTTATTTTAAACTACGATTATGAAACAAAAGTTTGAGCGAAACTATATGAATAATAGTTTTAATAATAAATGTTAAAGTCATCTGACTTGACAAGTATGTCAAGTCGACTACGTAAGCTAAAAAAAAAACCTATTTGCCCATAGTATTTGTATAGTGAATTTTTTTAAATAATACAATTGGTATTCCACTGTTTTAAGGCACAATCAAATAGCGTGTATGTATGTACGTACGTTGTAAAAGTGCGAATAATGCACTGGTCTAGATAATACGAAAACTAACTAAACTACTCTAACCAGAACTACAACTAATAATTTTCTTTTAAGCAGTCTACGTACATATACAAGATAAAAAACCCAAATAAATACAAGCCTATATTCGACAAGGTTCAATTTTTTAAATCACTATAACTTTTTATACAAGAGGTTTTCAAAAAACTGACTGGTAACTTTCTAGAGCAATATATATTAGTTCTCAAAAATTTCCAAACATTTTTTTGAAAAACCTTCTATATAATAAGTTGATGCGTGTTAAAAATTACTATTGTTTTATATATAGGTTTCTAGCAGGACCCCGGATAATTCTAAGGTAGGTGGGGGGTAAAAAGGGTAGATTTTTTGGGCTGAACGTGTCTAAATTCTGGTCAAAATTAAATTTTAATTTTAATTTTGACCAGAATTTAGACACATTCGGCCCAAAAAATCTACCCTTTTTTACCCCCCACCTACCTTAGAATTATCCGGGATTCTTTTCTAGCACCATATTTTTAAAAAAAGTTATATCTAAGTATTCGAGTTTTAATTTATAAAATACAGTAATATGCTTTACAAGAAATATATAAATTTATTTTTGCTATATCGATATAGCGCATAATATGCGCATATTTTAAGCTAAAAACTTGCATAATTTTGCATAATTTACAGTTTGGCATAATTTGACCATCCTCGCATCATAATCCTACACCCTATCGCCACCAAAATTCTACGGACACGTGATTTTTGTAACGCAAACCAAACGTTCGTTTGTCAAAAATCGCTTATAACTCAAAATTCAGTATAGGAAACCACCTTTAGTGCTCTAACAAAAAGTTTTCCTCGTGAGATTTTACTATATATTTTTGGTACGCCACCAATATGGTCACGTGTCCGTAGAATTTTGGTGGGAAGATCTAATTCCTATCGTAAAGACTTATCGGGGGGAATTTGTATAGCAACACTTTTTCTAATGTTGAACTCCAATCAAGAAATATTACTTAATGTGTACAGAAATTAAATCAGCACGTTATAATTTTATCATTTAATAAACTATTATATGAACAAATAGAAATATCCTCAACTTTTTGTCGAAAGCAAATACATTCAAAGTGATTATTATCACAATTACTTACAAAAAAATATTTTAAATTTTTCGTTGCGGAAATTTGTGCTAATAAAAAAATTTGATCATTAAATTGAAATACATCATAATAAATTAAACATTCTAACTTTGGACATATTTCAAAAATTTTTTGAAAACTTTTAGTTCGCAACTTTTTAACTTTAATGTCTTAACGTTTTGAAGATTTGAACTATCAAACACAAAAATTAAATCAATACATGCCACAAATTCAAGTTCTTCTACAAATTTAAAAGGAAAATTCACATATTCTTTAAGACTAAAAAATGTAAATTTAACATATTTTGTCCAATATTCATCATTAAGTATGAAGCGCTATTCATTAATGCTCAAATAAATATAATGATTCTTTTGAAATAATTAAGTCAAATTTTTTGTCAAAACTTTATCTTCATAATTTGAATAGCAAGTTTTTAAAATATTTATATTATATAAATTCACATATTTTAGATTTTTTGCTTTATGAAAAATAGATTCAATGACAAATTCGTATTGACAAGATCCAGAATAAATACGATAAATATCTTGAATTGAAAAATATTCCAACACACTTAAATAATCAAAAAAGGGTTGATTTCTTTTTTTAGGATCAAATTTTAAATTCTGTTTAAACTTTTCCTTTAGCTCGCAGGCGGTAAACTTGAATAGTTTATCATAGTAGTCATAGTTAAAAAGTTTTTCGCTTTTTTGTATGAAATATAATTAAAAGGATTTCATATAATTTTACAAATTGTATAGATGCAAATAATTTATTAACTAACATCGTCAGAAATATTTCATAAATTGAAAATTCAATCGATAAAAGTATAATAAATCATTACATCCTAGTTCTTTCGCTATAATATAATTTCCCTAACTTAAAATAACGAAATACAAGAATTATTATCAAAATATTTTCTAATA